GTCAGATTTGTTTTGTATATTCGTTATTTTCAAATCGATTTGAAATTCAAATTTGAATTTTGAGATTTGAATTTCGGAAGACTGCTGTATTCATTCTATTTTATTCTATTCTATGCTATTTTCTTGTAATCTATTCTATTTTTTTACTATTCTATTCTACACTATTCTATTCTTTTTTTTTCTATTCTGTTCTATTCTTTTCTGTTCCTTTATACTCTATTCCATTCTATTCTATTCTGTTATATTTTATTTGTTTCTATTCTATCCCATTCTACAAAGCAGCCTAAGTAGGAATCCTCATCCTATTTCACTTTTATACCTTACTGTGTTTATTGCAATGTTTCTATTTCAAATTCATTTTTAAATTTGGATAATTTGTTGAGTTATAATTTATTTGGGATTCATGGAAACTCGTTACTATTGTGATTCAGAACTTTTGATACATCCGAATCTTCGAATAACAAAAAGTTGATCAGAATTTGAATTTTTAACAAAAGGAATCACAACATGTCTGTTCTCAACCGTTTTGAGGTCACAGCCTGGTAAACCCTTATAAAACCTTCTAATGCCCAAACAGAAAAAAATATCTATTGAAATTCTGGAAGGCTCTGGATATGGGGGTGAAGAGAGGGGGTTTTGTGTAACTGTGGGGGGTGTGGTCTTTGGAGGGGGTTGGGGGTTTCTCCAGCAGGTTGGTGGGTTTAGAAGGGCAATGTGGGATACTTGAGGGCACTGCAATGGCTGGGAGCACTGTGGGATACTGCTGGGGTCACGATAGGAAACTGGAGGCTCTGCAGCAAGGTAAGGAGCACTGTAGGGGTCTGGGGGCACTGTGTGGACTGGGGATCTTAGGGGGCTTGGAGGCACTGTAAGATTTTCAGGGACACTGTGGGTCACTATGGGAAGATGGGTGTCACTATGGGAGTTGGGAGGCACTGTGAGAGGTTAGGGGATCTGCAGCTAGCTGGAAATCCAGGAGGAGGGAGGCTGTTGCGAGGCAGTTGGTCATGTCACGGTGGTTGAGAACCTCTAGTCTTCACTAAGGCATATGTGGGAAATGAGACCTTGTCATCAGACTATTCATTTCAGTATTCCAATTTGCTCCTCCCTCATCAGCTAATTAAAAGGCTAAGAAGGGAGGAGGAGCTGGGCCAGCACAAATAGATAGATGAAAAGAGGGATATGGTGTACATGAAGAAAGAGGACAGTGCTAGGAAATTTACTCTTCCTGAAGTTCTAGCAAGTTCAAAGGCACAGTGCAGGTGATTAAAAAATGATTTATATGTAGCATCATACCCTGGGTGGCAGATGTGATCCCCTGTTGGCTAATATCTCTACCTCAGGGTCTGGTCCTTGGTGTATGTGTAAATGTGTTTATTTTTCACTTTATTATTTGTAAATGAAATTGCATACTATGTGCCCCTCATTCACATGGGGAGGGGTGCTATCTGGGGCTTATTATATTAAAGGGGCTTACAGATTCCAATAAGCCCCTCACCAGCAGACCTCTGTGACCTCCAGGTTAGGGTTGTGGAGAAGAGGCCTTGCTCCTCATCAACATAGGGACAAAGTGTTTTGCCAGAGGGGCTAAGTTATCCCCCCTTCCCACAATGAGGGGCATGGGGCCTGGTATAGTTTGGAGGGTGCACACTTGTCCTCCCTTTTCTAGCCAGCCAGGCTGCATGCTCTGATAAGGGTCTAGTGTGGCTTGGTGGGGGGACCTGTTGCTTTTTATCTTATTTTCGCATGAGGTCCCCCCTTCAATTCATGCTTTTTTTTGCATGGGGTCCCCCTTGACCGTAATACCAGACCCTCATCAAGGAGTCTGGTATGTATATGTGGGGAACCACATGCTGTCTTTTGGGTGGGTGTGAGTTCTTCCATTAACATCTATATGAGACTCTCATCTAGGATAAGAGTCTGGGATAGATGAAGGGCTGTGAAGTGAGCAGTCAGGAAGCTGTCATTTACTGTCAGTTGAAATAGCATTGTTTTCTTTGTAAATATCAGGTTGTATACATTGTACATATGCACCACGCCACAGGCAGGGCCATAGACAAGGGGGTACCACCAGTCCTCCTGTACGGGGCCCAGGCCAACAGAGGGCCCCAGGCAGCTGGGTGAATTTGATGTGGGCAGGGGGGGGGGTGATCTGCACAGCGGGGGGCAATTACTGGAACTGATCCCCTGTAGGGCTCTCTCTGCAGCAGCTGAAAGCCAGCTTCATCTTCTCTCCCTCCCGCTGGCTTTCAGCTGCTGCAGAGAGAGTCCTACAGGGGATCAGTTCCAGTAATTGCCCCCCTCCAAACCCATCACCTCCCCTTTGCACCATACATTTCCCCCTGCTACCCAGGCCCCCCTGTGTGCCCCCACCTCCACAATGCTGCCAGCTTCCCTCCTCTCTTTTCCACCGGCATCTGCAAGCAAATAGGATCTTTGAGGATATAGAGTGGGGGAAGGACCGGTAAATATGTCACATTTATCAGCCCCTTTGTTTCCTGAATGAACACAACGAGCGATCGGTACTAATCACTCACTGTGTTCATTCATAACTGAAGCATAGTAAAATGTGTTTGTTTTTTTTTTTGTTTTGTTTGTTTTGAAGGGGGAGGGCCCTGTCAGGTTGGCTGTATGGGGCCCCGTGGTTTCTATCAGCAGCCCTGCCCACAGGCAGTTTAAGGGCATCTTCTGTGCATGTTTTTTAAAGGAATTGTGCACTTTTAATGTTGCCCTCCAAGTGTTATTAAAATTGAGGCACCCCGCCAAACAGAATTTAACACTTTTTTGTCTTTGCTTTGGTACACGTTCCCCAAGGCATTGTCCAGGCCCTATGCTATTTGTTTAACAATACCTCGCTTATTAGCCTAGAAAATGGTCATTACTGTTTTTGAACACTCCACTCTCATTGACATCAATGGTGCTTGCATTCAGCACCTTTGTGTGGGAAAAAAATAGGAAATAAAACATTAATATATTGTATACAATTGCTACACAAGTCATATTATAATTGAATGGTTTTAAAGGATAAGTTCACTCTTTTGACAAAAACTAATAAATGCACATTTTTTTACAGGTAAAAAAATGTGCATTTATTAGTTTTTGATGCAGGGGCCTGTAAGCCATTGCCTCAGATCGCTGGTGCTATGAAGTTGTTCTGCAAACCTGTTAGTAGATCTGCTTGCTTGTACATCCCCTACAGGCAAGCAGATTTACTGAGAGGAAGAATCAATGCACCACAAAGGCGCTCCACAGATCTGTGGTAGTTTCATTGAGAACTACAAGGCGACAGCCGCAAAGGATGTTGGTACTTGTAGTTCATTCATTCACAGAACTCTATGAATGAATGAAGTGGTCATGTGCCCCCTGGGGCAGCTTGTATGGGGGGGGGAAATCGGGCAGTGGCTTCAGTATTAGGAACATGTTACATGTTTCACTCTAAAAACAGGTGGAACATGTAACATGTTCTAAAAGGCGAAAGTATCCTTTAAGATCACCTTTCCTTTTCAATCTGCAGTGTTGTCATTTTTCCTGTAACAATATGGAAACCTGGAGGCAATCTGTACACAGTTTGTGTATAGAAATCCCCCCCAAGAAATGTAGATTCCTGCTTGTGTGATTGGCTCACTGAATTTTTCCTGAAGTCTACACTAAGACTAGAGATGAGAGAATTATTCAAAAATTCGGTTCGGCTGATTCGCCGAATTCGCCGCATAAATTCGCTTCGAGCCGAATATATTCGCTGCGAATTTAACTTATAAAAAGGGTGTTTCTAGGCTTCAGAGAGCCTTTATATTAGTGCAGAACACTGTACCTTTAATTTAAATGCCCTTGGAGTCTGCTGGGGAAGAGAAATAATACTGTCAGTCAGTATGACATGCAGATGAGTGCCGTCGATCTTAGAATCACCGCACACTTCACTCATTTGGGCAGTCACGGGGCCAAAACCAGAGTGTGGAGCCACAGTGTGGCGGTGGAGGCAGCAGCAATGGGAGGCCATACAGCACCCTATGACAAAAATGGAAACCACCAGCAGTGTGAGGAGACCTGAAAGTGGCACATGGCAGAGTGTGGCGATGGAGACAGCAGCAATGGGAGGCTGTACAGGGACCCATGACACACTCTGGACCTGGCAGCAGCATGAGGAGGCGGTACAGGGGCCCATGACAGATTACGGGCCTGGCAGCAGCATGAGGAGTCGGTACGGGGGCCCATGGCAGATTACGGGCCTGGCAGCAGCATGAGGAGGCGGTACAGGGGCCCATGGCAGAGTGGCGGAGCGTAAGCAGCTAAAATTGAAGGCAATACAGAGGCCTTTGTTAAAAAGTCCCCCCAGCAGCAGCGTGGGGAGACGACTATCAAGAGTCCAATGGCAGAGTGGCGGAGCAGAAGCAGCTTCAATTGAAGGCCATACACAGGCCTAGGTTTAAAAGTCCCTCACAGTTAATTCCAATAACGAACTCTACTCCTCATGCAATCTACTTACGAGACCCTGGGAAGGTCTGGGTCCAATTTGTGGTAGAGACTGGTTTTGTTCAGCCATGCTTGAGCGAGTAATAACAGGTCTGTGCTGCCCTTTGGTGTCTGGCTTAATGCGCACAACACTGAACGTCCCAGCGTTTGTCAACGATTTGCCGTTAAGTGATGCAAACCCGCTGAACCACGTTCATGAGGAGCCGGTACAGGGGGCCATGAATCAGTATGGACCTGGCAGCAGCGTGAGCAGACAACAGAGGCACATGGCGCAGGGTGGCGGTGTAGGCAGCATTATTCTGAAGCCATACACAGGCCTAGGTTAAAAAGCGGAAAGCCGTCAGCAGCGTGAGCAGACGACAGAGGACACATGGCGCAGGGTGGCGGTGGATGCAGCAGTATTCGGAAGCCAAACACAGGCCTCGGTTAAAAAGCGGAAGCCGTCAGCAGCGTGAGCAGACGACAGAGGCACATGGCGCAGGGTGGCGGTGGAGGCAGCAGCAATGGAAGGCCATACAGCACCCTATCACAAAAAATGGAACCCACCAACAGTGTAAGGAGACCTGAAAGTGGCACATGGCAGAGTCTGGCGATGAAGTCAGCAGCAATGGGAGGCCGTACAGGGACCCATGACACACTCTGGACCTGGCAGCAGCAAGAGGAGGCAGTACAGGGGCCCATGGCAGAGTGGCGAAGCGTAAGCAGCTTAAATTGAAGGCCATACAGAGGCCTTTGTTAAAAAGTCCCCCTGCAGCAGTGTGGGGAGACGACTATCAAGAGTCCAATGGCAGAGTGACGGAGCAGAAGCAGCTTCAATTGAAGGCCATACACAGGCCTAGGTTAAAAAGTCCCCCCCAGCAGCAGCGTGGGGAGACGACTATCAAGAGTCCAATGGCAGAGTGGCGGAGCGGAAGCAGCTTCATTGAAGGCCATACACAGGCCTAGGTTAAAAAGTCCCCCCAGCAGCAGTGTGGGGAGACGACTATCAAGAGTCCAATGGCTGAATGGCGTTCCCGGGAAGTCAGCGTTGTGATTGCAGATGCAATGCAGAGATTCTACGAGGTGATGCCGTGGGTGCGAAGAAGATCATATACCGTCGTACTTCCATCCATAAGACGGAACAACCTGCGAACCGGGAGCTTTATTGCCTGACCCGCTGAGCAGCTTCTGGGATACCCAAGAGGCCCATGGCAGAGTGGCGGAGCGTAAGCAGCTTCAATTAAAGGCCATACAGAGGCCTATGTTAAAAGTCCCCCCAGCAGCAGCGTGGGGAGACGACTATCAAGAGTCCAATGGCAGAGTGGCGGAGCGGAAGCAGCTTCAATTGAAGGCCATACACAGGCCTAGGTTTAAAAAGTCCCCCCAGCAGCAGTGTGGGGAGACGACTATCAAGAGTCAATGGGATGAGTGGCGATCCGGGAAGTCAGCGTTGTGATTGCAGATGCAATGCAGAGATTCTATGAGGTGATGCCGTGGGTGCGAAGAAATATCATATACCGTCGTACTTCCATCCATAAGACGGAAACAACCTGCGAACCGGGAGCTTTATTGCCCTGACCCGCGCTGAGCAGCTTCTGGGATACCCAAGAGGCCCATGGCAGAGTGGCGGAGCGTAAGCAGCTTCAATTAAAGGCCATACAGAGGCCTATGTTAAAAAGTCCCCCCCAGCAGCAGCGTGGGGAGACGACAATACAAGAGTCCAATGGCAGAGTGGCGGAGCGGAAGCTGACACTTAAAGGTATATCGATGGTCAGAGACCCACAGGAAGTGGAGCTTGCGTCTTAAATCGACTGAATGTGGCAGACGTGAAACGTCTACGGGCCGTATAGTAATGAAACGGGTTGTTCCCTCTTTCTGGGAATAAGTGTTGGAAATGGCCACTCGTTTTGGTGTGGCGTTTTTGTCTATTTTTAATTCCGAAAACGGGACTCTACTCCTCCGTGCAATCTAGTTTTACGAGACCCTGGGAAGGTCTGGGTCCCAATTTGTGGTAGAGACTGGTACTTTGTTCAGCCATGCTTGAGCGAGTAATAAACAGGTCCTGTGCTGCCCTTTGGTGTCTGGCTTAATGCGCACAGCACTGAACGTCCCCCAGCATTTGTCAACCGATTTGCCGTTAAGTGATGCAAACCCGCTGAACCTACCACAGTTCATGAGGAGCCGGTACAGGGGCCATGAATCAGTATGGGACCTGGCAGCATGTGAGGAGACCCGAAAGTGCACATGGCGCAGGGAGGCGGTGGAGGCAGCAGTATTCGGAAGACATACACCAGGACTAGTTTAAAAAGCGGAAGCCGTCAGCAGCGTGAGCAGACGACAGAGGCACATGGCGCAGGGTGCGTGGAGGCAGCAGTATTCGGAAGCCATAACACCAGGCCTAGGTTAAAAAGCGGAAGCCGTCAGCAGCGTGAGCAGACGACAGAGGCACAAGGGCGCAGGGTGGGGCGGTGGAGGCAGCAGTATTCGGAAGCCATACACAGGGAGCCTCGGTTTTTAAAACTGGAACCAGCAGCGAACTGAGCAGACGAATAACAAAGACCTTCTGCACATGGCAGAGGGTGTCTGTGTCATGGATCTGGTAGCAGTATGAGAAGGCGGTACAGGGGCCCGATTCATATTAAGCCGCCCCAGTGTGGTGATGGGGGCTACAGCAACAGGATGCCAGAAAGTGGCCGATAGGGCTATATACTGCAATGGAATTATAAAGTTGTAAAGACAGAAAGCAGCTGCCTATAAGGCTATACCCACTATAACAATCAAGACTTGATTGACCATTGGCCTATAAAAGGCTATACACAGCATGAATATCATGACTTATTCTGAGAGTGGTTTGGAAGGCTATAATACAAAAAGTAATTCATGAGCTGTCCGGAACAGCGGACAATAAGTATACATATATACAAATCAATTCATCAGCTGTCCAGCCAGCGCCTCAAAAGCGGCTACACATATATAAAGCAATTCATTAGCTGTTCTAGACAGCGGCCTCTAAGGCGACAGATATACAAAGCAATTCCCGAGGTGTTCAGGGAGCGGCCTGAACGGCTAGGTTATTAACTAAATATATTTTTGATGTAGGCCAAACATCGGCCTATAAATAGATGTCTACACAGTGACAAAAAATTTAATGTCGCCAGACTGCAGCGGCCCTAAGGCAACATATATACAAAGCAATTCCCGCGAGCGCAGCAGGGCCCACAGTGGTCCTGAGGATGACGTTGGCGCAGAAAGGCAGAGACCAACTGACTACTACCAAGGTGGTTTTATAGTACTTTATGTTGGCCTCCCCTCTCAGCAGGTGTGAAAAAGGCCACCATTTTTGAACGGTAGCGAGGGTCCAACAAGGTGGACACAGCCAAAAGTCAATCCCTCTGTCTGATGGTTATTATTCGGGATCTGTCGCTACGCAAGCAACCGAGCATGCTATGGGCCATTTGTGCCAAGGAATGCGAGGGACTTTTACCCTGCCTCCATCTCCACAGCATACTGCCACGGTGCGTCTGGGTCCTCTGTTCTCCTCGCCTCCTCCTCCTCTACCAGATGCTCCTGCTCCTCCCACGTCCTGTCCGCTGAGTGGAAAAAAATCCACCCATTTTCACTCAATAATTCCTGAGCACCAATGTCCTCCTCTACCTCCTCCTTTTCTTCCTGCCTGCCCCCACAGGGGTCATGTGGCGTTGAGATCTGTGCGCCACGTCCTACCGCACCCCTGACCAGCCATTGTTAACAGCATTTGTTCCAGGACGTGCAACAGATGGAATGACGTCGTTCATCCCCGCATAGTCCTGCCAACTCACGAATAGCGTGGCCAGTCCTCAAAGGGCCTGGAGCAAGCGCGGCAGGTGTACACGCATGAGCTGCCAATGGCTGACATCTAAGTTACACAGGGTGAGTACCTTTATTATTCCCGCTTGTAACATCAGGAAATCGGTGATGGCCTTTCGCTGTTCGTAAAGGCGGTCTAACATATGTTAGGGTTTGAATCTTCCACCTTGTTGCAACGTCGCAGATCAGGCGATGCTGTGGAATTCCGTTCTGCCGCTGCAGCCGCTGCACAAGGAGGGGTGTGCTTTGGCGGTGTAGGAAATGGCTGAAATGCATGCAAAGTTTGTACGTGACATTTTAAGGATGTCTTGCAGTGGGTATGGTGATTTTAGGAACCGCTTGAGACAACCAGATTGAAAGATACACGTGAGCCATGCATGGCGCATGGGCAACAACCTTCCTTGACGCAGAGCAGACACCATGTTCTTTCCGTTGTATCGGTCAACATGGTTCCGATTTTCAGTTTTGCGCGGAGACAGCCATCTGTCGATTTCTCTGTTCATTACACTCAGAAGTTCCTCCCCTTAGTGTGACTACGTTTCGCCCAAGGCATACCAGGTGGCAGCACAGCGTGACACCGTTGCGCCCTGCACATGTGATATGCCGGTTCTCGGGTCGAGCTAATGGGACTAGTGGCACGGGGGTGGCGGCTGAGGACACGGCCGGAAGAAGAGGTGGTAGAGGCGGACATCTTTGCTGGACCAAGGACGTGCAAACGTGGAGGCAAAAGCGGCGTGACCTGTCCAAGTTTTGCTGTGTGCGGCTGTGACGGCACCCACGTTCACCTCCAGTGGGCCCGTAAATGGACATGTACGTGGTCCCTGACCGTAGTATTACAGCTCCACACGTCGCGCTGCCGTGCACTTGGGCAGAGAGACCGACATGCTCAAAGACTGGCCCATCCATCTCTTCTACATGTGAATGCAGGGCTGGCACTGCCTTTTTGGCGCAAGAAATGACGGCTTGGCACTCTCCACCGCTCCTTCCGCGGCTCGGCACAAGCCATCATTTTTCGGAAAGAGGTGCGTGAGTCCACCACTTGGAAAGGGAGGGTACTGCAGCACCAGCAACTTGGACAGGAGGACGTTCAGCTTTTGCACCGTCGGGTGGCGAGCTCGCAAACTGTTGTCTCTCTTTGAAACGGATTCCAAGAAAGACTGCTGACGAATCCGTGAAGAGGAGTAGCAGTAGAAGGAGCATCTGAACGAGCGGAAGAAGCCAACGAGCGTCAACACCCCTCAGCAAAAAGAGGTGTTTGGCGCCTTGACTTGGCTGATAGAGGGGTGATTGAGGCGAAGTAACGGAGCGGGGTGATGGAGCGGGGGCTGGGGCAGGCAGAACCGCCGTATCTTTATCACCGGGGCGGTTTTCCCAGGCCACCGAATGGCGACGCTGCATATATGCTGACGCAACGCTGTAGTCCCAACATGGGCCCCCTGGCCACGCTTGCTGACTTTCTGGCCACATAGTCGACATACGGCTACGTTTAACTTCCTCGGGCGGCTTGACGAAAAATTGCCACACCCTCACCGCCGAGTAGGAAACAATTGCCCCCGCTACTCCTTTCCTCACTGGCTGACTACTACTACTTCCTCCGTGCACACCGGCACCACTACTGGCCGGTTGTGGTAGGTCTGCAGAGGAGCTGGTGCCTCTACTCCCCGTGGCCATTTGGCTCCACTGACACTGCTGCGACCCTGCTGCCTATCAATCCTGGGCAACCCACCGACTGTTTTGCTCGCTGGCAAGCTGGCACCCTCTCTCCCCTGAGATGATGCGGAAGCAATAGCCTGATGACGACGTGGCTGCCATACTGCGATCAGCTCATCATCATCAATTAGGGTCTCCGCGTCACTACCTAGCCCCCTCGGCTGCGTGTGGGTCAGGAGACAGACCTGTCTCTAGACCGCTACCGAAGCCATCTTCCCATCCTCTCCTCGCCACTACATTCTTCCGCCTGGCTGCTGAAGAGGCGGATGTCTCCCCCCCGTTCCAGACCCGCCCTCTATTTAGCTCTTCCTCACTTGTACAGATGGGCGTCAGGAATGGATTTCAGCACTGGTGGGTGAGTGGACTCTCCTGCCGTGTGGGCTGCAGTACCAGAGCTGACCAGCGGGTGCTCTCAGGCACTGGTGGTGGACTCTCCCCTGCCGTGTGGGCTGCAGTACCAGAGCTGACCACGGGTGCAACTCAGCACTGGAGGTGGGACTCTCCTGCCGTGGTGGGCCCTTGCAGTAACCAGAGCTGACCAAGCGGGTGCCTTAGCAGCCAGAAGCTCACAATCAGCCAAACCAGGGGCTGATTACAGAAAGGTGGTAAATAAGGCATGACCAGGGGCCTGTGCTCTGGGCCTTGGTGTATGTGTTTTCCCATGAGCCCCTGTATCCTGTTCCTAGTTCCTGAGAGAAGATACCTTGTTTGCCGACCCTGCCTGATCCTGATTCCTGTTGACCGTCTCCTGTTCTGACTAACGTACTGGCTACATCCCTGACCATCCTTCTGCCTGATCCTCTGTACTCTGCGCTGTCCGTGAGTTACTGAACCCGGCTTTGACCTTGACATTCTCTGCCTTGCTCCTTTGATACCTTGCTGCCCAGCACGTTGCTGACTTGGCCCGTCTGACCACGCTCACTACTCTGCCATCCATCCATCCTGCAACGGATCCAGCGTACCTGCACATACCGTCTGGCGGATCCCTCTATCACTAGCAGGTGTACTCAGGGGGCCTGCGACCTGGTTTCCTGTCCCTGCTCCAAGTCCATCCCCACCATCAGGGCCCTGGTGAATAGCAGACTGGGACTTAGACTTCCGCGCCCTGGGGAATCCTGCCCTGAGGACCGCTAGAGGTACCACCAGGCAGTCGTTACAGAACCCTACGGCCGAGGGGGCCTGACCATATCCACCTCTCCAGCCCTGACTACGCCTGTGTTCCTGCACCTCCTAAGATTAGTGGAAGGTTAGTTTTGCTCACTGTGCGTTTATATATATATATATCTTGGGTGGCTAAAAATAACCTGTATTCAACTATTACCTGAAACCTGCGTTTCCCTGTGTCAGTCCACACCCCTTTCCTGGTCACTCCTTGATTCCTGACAGTGGGGCTGAGCCCACAGCATGCGATTACTTCCGCTTGGTGTGGGAACACCAAAGGACAGGGGCAGGTCGGAGGACACATCTGATTTCAGTGGGTTTGCTCCCGGGCCATGCCAACTAATCGGTTGTGTCTGACGTACCCACCGACCGTTGGGCTGTAGGTGTCAGAGGTGACCTGGAAAGAGGAAGACGACCGAGTCAACCAATCGATGACGGCAGGGTTGTCGGTGGAGACACGAGCACGCGCTGGATGACAGCCGGGAGTACTGGCCCTGGGCTGCGACTAGTGCTGCCTCGACCCCTTCCTCTGCTGCCCACGTCTGCTCGCTCCTAAAACATATGCCTCCTCTGCCACTCCTCTGCGTGTTGTCCTGACATACTCTTTAATTCA